TGAAGCGACATTTCTGAAAACATAAAACTTTTTCAAGATCAAAATCCCCTGCCATTCTGTTGCTGTCCCTCCCAGTCCACCCTCCAACTCCTTGCAGAGCACACTCTGCCAGTTTTCCTTGTTACGCTGGAGGCTGGGTGAAGAGTGCAGAAAAGGTGATGTTCTTGACACTGAACCTGTAGCAGTGCTTCCATGACAACAAATAAGATGTTACACGTTGGAACCGTGCAGTGACAAACGAAGCCTAACCAGGACTTGAGGAAGGCAGTTAGTTTTGATGGAACACTGCTCCTCAGAAATGCTCAGGTTAAACCACAGTTTCTTTGCATGTCCCAATACACTGTGCAATTCCTGCAGGAAAGAGGAAAAAATGGAAGAAATCTTTTTTTTCAGAGACCTCCTTCAGGAGTTTACAGCAATGGTCTCCACTAGCTGCAGAATGGGGCAAGTGGTATTTGATCCAAGCTGTCTGTCTGTATCTGGGGACAATGTCCATTGCCAAGATAAAGAAACCTATCCTGCCATTCAAAAATACAAAACCTAGTAATTTTAAGTAATTCACCAGGACTGATATTTGGTCTCACCACTGCTCAGTCTTGAGCATCCAAACCTCACTGAAAGGAAAGTCAAGGGGTGAATGGATTCTTACCATGGTGATACACAGTATGATATAATGAAACTGAAGTGTCAGCTGGCAGGTTAATACATTTTGCCAAACTGATTTAGCACCTACCAGTCCACCAGTGAACTTATATGAAAGAGACTGCTTGCTCTCAGCTATTGAATCTTCCATCCCAGATCATACTTCATGGAACTCAACCACTTGTGATAATAAGTGTTCTGGGGAGTAAGAGCATGTGCCCGAGAGCATGCTCTAGTGGCTACACCTCTAGCTGCTGGTCATGAGCTTTGGGCATTATTTCTGACTATGTGACCTGTAGCATGCTGCTTTCTGGATTTCATCATGGGTGTCATTTTTGGGTAGGAAATACAGGAGCCATTCCAGCTTAGTGGTTCGTGATGAGCTCTAATACAAACTTCAGTTTGTACACACTCTTAAAGAGGTGGCTTTGAAGTTGTCATGCATACCAAGAGAGGTGACTTCCACCTGCATGACCCTGAAGGTTGGTCTGTATTTGCCTAATGTGTCCCACCAGCCTCTAGAATTTCATAATGTAGGCTGTTCTGAGCAAATGAATCAGCTCTGGACTCATAGAAGAGCAGATGGGTTGCAGGCAACCAGACTCCAACCTTCCTTCCTCGAGTGACCATGTGGCATTTAACCACAGGTGTCTTACATCTGACAAGCCTGGTCAGGAACCTGTCAGGCTTTAACCTGCAACTTCAGACAGTGCTGACACAACCACTCTGGACTGAATACAGTACGCTCTCACTACATTAAATTGGTTCAGATTTATGCTATAGTGATGGTCAACACATTGTGCCCTGAACAATTTAGTCTGAGAAATGCTCCTTTAAAAATAGCTAATAATTTTAACAATCCATTTTCCCCGAGTGTCTTAGACTAAGAAGTTTATCCAGAGGTAAAAACCATTCCAATCCTTATAACCTGGGGATAACTAATCAAATTTAAACTTTTTATTTTTCACAGGGAAGGGAAAAAAACCCACATAACAACTACAGCAGCTAGGATAAATCTTACTAGATGCATTTTGACCATGCTGATCCTGATTCAGCAGGTCACTGGCCAGCACTGCAGAGGTGTTTAAAAATAAGGGATCTTCACAACAGAGTCATTTGAGCTTCTCATTCCTAGTGGGAAGGTCTACAGCTTTTATAACCATTGCACATTCGGATATTGGTTGTCTGAAAATAACTAGGTCCACTAATTATTTTCACTATCAGTGTTTGCAGTCCTGACCTCCTGGTGCTAAACTATTCTAAAATCAGTTTTGCTATATCACTGGTCAAAAAACAGTGTTAATGAAGATGTGGGATAAAGAAGCACATTTTATAAATTATACTAACGTCAGGTAATCTGCATCATCTTAGACTTGTAAAATGTTCTCCTTTTTAACAATACATCCAGTTTTGGATATTGATATTTTCACTTAGTTATGATATCACCTTCTACTTAGAATAGCATCTTTCATCCCAAAATGTGGTCTCTCCATCTACCTGTAGGATGAAGCTGAGTAAATACAGTGATGAAGAGAAGCTAGACAAAGCCACATGAAACATTACGAGAAGAAACTCAATCAGAAGAGAGGGGAAAACAAAAATTTGGAGGAATTATATTATAGAGATTAGTATCTGGCCAGTAAATTTGGGTTAGCATTCTGTTCTCATCCACGGACCGAAAAGGACCCTGCTTTTAAATTTCAGTGAACAGATGGTGAAATCCCACTTCCTGCTACTCTCATGCTGGGAGAGTAACTCAATACTGCATCAGCCAGGAGACCAACACCTACAGAGCTGCAAGAATACTCCGCATGGAAACTGGCTTCTCCTTGGAGGTCTCCTAACCAGGACCCCTGCCATATTATTTAAAGAATATCACACACTCAAATCTGAAATGGCTTTGGAAAATGCACGTGAAGGCTGATGCACTGTGCCTTGATTAGTCTAACACAAGATAATATGTATATTTTATGCCTTTATGCTTAATTGCAATTGCATTTTAGTGGCTTCCATGAAAAGGATGGATTATATTTGGCATCATTATTACAAGCGTAACCATCCAGAGAAAGCTGCAACAAAGTTATGTTGCAGAAGACATTAGTAAATAATCCACAAAATACTATTAAAAAAAAAAAAAAGGTATTTCATTCAGGACTAATGATGTCAGTATACAGATATCCCAAATTTCCAGTGGTTTGTACCAGGTTTGAAACAGCAACATAGAAAAATGCACCAAAGCAGAAATCAAACCTGCAAAAATATGCAAACCAAGATCTTCTGCTCTGAGAACAGATACAAGCAAAGGTGTGAACACCAGCAGTGTAATGCTGAAAAAAAAAAAAAAAAAGAGCTTTATACATTTCTGAAAAGAATCAGACACACTAGATTTTGCATACATCACAAAACAGGTATACAGGCTTCCAGAAACTATGATGGAGTTTAAAGATCTTCAGTTTATTTTCTTCAAGATCAGTCCTGAAAGGCTACGTGGTCTCTTCCATCCAGTAGCTTTAGAAGCTACTAGTAAAATAGCACAAACTTACTTTTATTGCAATCTTACGAAAATAAAAAAGAAATAAACATGGAAAAAATTGTGGGAAAAAGAATAACTCCATTTTGAACTCTGCAATTTCTTTTTTAAAAAGGATTATTTTTCTGAAATACAATATTCAAACAAAAGTGGCAAAAATCCAAATAACAAAGATCCTACTGTCACTGTACTTAATTTTCTTAAGGAGGTGAACCATCAGAGCCCTCCAATTTTCATCTACTCCATATTTCAATCATAGAAAGTGAAGTGTTACATCAGCATAGTCACCAGGTAAAGCTGCTGGATTATTCTAAATGGACATTCTTCAGACGGTGGCACAGATGATGAGTGATTGTCCAATTCTGAAGCTATCAGAACTGAACGGATTTAGCAATGTCATAAACACCTCTCCAGGGAGTCACCTGGTGTTGAGAACTCACTTTACATGCCGTGTTTCAAAATCAGTTTTAATGGATTTACGTTAGATTCAAACCCACTTTAGAGCTATTATTTCTCCCTTTCAACCTTTTCACACACTACTGCAATGTACTACAGCATATTTCATAATCACATGTTTGCAGGCCTGTGGGAAAGTAAACAAAACTTCAAAGGGTTATTATTTAAGGACTCTGTATTACGGCCATAGGCCTGGCTGTTTTTCTTCCTCACCACCCCTTGGGCCCAAAGCACATAATCATCCAGTAATTGAACTGAAATGTCTAAATGGCTAGATCCCCTGAAGGACATAGGTAGTTAGCAGTGGAGAAAGTAAGGGACATTTTAAAAAACCCTCATGGCACTTTCCTGCACTACTTAGAAACACCGTATAAATGTAACTGACCTGGACCTGATAGGCTTTTATAGGAAACAGAACAGTGCATGGGTATTTCTGGAGTTGTAGCTAAAGTAAAGATTAAATATTGAAGCATGCTGTATTTGGAAGCAAAGATCTTACATTTAAATTACTTTCAGAAGAACCGAGAAGAAACAGAAATATACATGTGTACACAGAAGTATATATAACACGATAGTACCACTAATACCACGTGAAAGCAAACCCCTTTAGGTCCTCATATTTAATAGCCCATCCAAAAAGTGTAATGGATAGCAGATCCCAGGCTTTCATACACTGTAACTGTCAAAGCACTCAGGAGATAGAGAAGTGAAGGCTCTGACAGCTCTCTTTTACATTCTAAATGACATCTGCATTCAACAGAACAGAAATAAAGATTAAGGGAAACACCTGATATGATAGCGCTCAGCTTACCTCAAAATGCAATATTTAAAAAGTACAGAGAAACACAGGTCTGCCTCCTTGTACTGTAAGTAAAAACTGGTGTCAAAGCCTCTGAGGTCTTCACCGCTGCCAGAGAGGCAGCACTGCAGCATCCAACAGATTGCAGGGGCAGGAGCCACAGCCTCTGACTATGGAACTGCTGAGATCAAAAGGTGCTTCACCAGAGAAGGGAGGGAGGAGACGGCCTTTGAACGCACACAGAAAATGGCTACAGGTACACACAGCGTAAGGAAATTAACTTGGCCAAAACCTTTGCAGCCTCTTGTACCCCAGCGAGGAGCAGAACGCCCCTCGCTGCTCTGGCTATGCACCTTTTGCAGTGAGTGCCTGCTGCAGATCCCTTCCAAGAGGTTACCAGCATTACGGCTTTGAGCGAGACACGTCAGCACACCGATCATGAGAGATGATTGCAAATAGATTTTCGCTGGTTGATTATATAAACGATGCCTCTTATAGCTGGAGTAACACCTCAAAGGCAATATAATGACGACATGACAATGTATGTAAATCAAGAACTGCATGTGGGTTTATTTTACACTTGAGAAAACAGTGGATTTAATTGTGTGAACCAAAATGTACTGTACAATATTAATGATAAAACATCAAAATGTATAATTCATAGTGCATTGCTTGCTTTATTTTTATTTATTTATTTTTTTTGTCAGATAGTTCCTTTAAGTACATGCATCTGGAAAGATGCAGGTGCCAGTAAAATTCCTCTATTTATATCAAGCTGCAGGAACTAAATTTTATTCAAAAAGTGTGGTTTTACATTATATACACAGAAATTGAATATAAAATGACAATATAAAAAGTTAAAAGAGAAAGCATACAGCCAGAAGGTACAAAGAAAGTTGAACAGTTTAAAATGGTACGATATGTAACATGTAATTTTTTAAGCTGATGCTGGCAATTTACAAGGAACAGAATCCAACATTTGCCCCATTTTTTTTTGTTTTCATTTACCAATGCAGCACACTATAGAAAGGTCAGCTTGTACCAAAGCTTAACATTTGTAAATAACTATAAACTGCAGTATTTTACAGAAAAAAAAAATAATAAAGGAAAGAAAAGAGCATTTTTACATTTGTTTTAAATAACAGCTTGCATACTTTTTTTTTCTTTTGCCAAAAAGTGGCAATTCTCAGCATCCAGAGGATTTGGGCATAGTGGCAAATTGGTTTGCTTGTTTTTTTAATTATTATTTAACTTATACAGTTGTGGCTTCCTAACCCCTTGAGTACTACACAGCTCTCCTTCTTCCAAGGACTGCATGCACAATATCTTCACAAACCAGTTCTGCATTTAAAAAAAAAAAAAGGAAGCTCATTCATTAAAAAAAAAAAAGTCCTGCTTCCGACACAGCTTTTATTTGAACGAAATGCCTTTAAGCCTTTTGTTTTATTTTGTTTTTCCTTATTTACTTATTTAGTCATTGGGAAAGGCACAGAAATGCTATTACAGTTCTCAGAGGGTTAAAACTTGACACTACCAGGTTCTGTGACCTTTATTGTCATGGCAACTTTGTAATTTTAGGATGTCTCTTTATCATTGTTCTTTGTGTCTTTCTTTACGGCTAAATTAATGTCTCTCAATAGTGTCTCCCACTATATTCTACAAAAGATAGCTTAACATCAAGGACAGATGTTGAAAATAAAGGTCAGACTTTGACTCACAAAAAATAAAAACAGAAACAAAAAAATAACCATGCACAGATCAGACAAAGAGCATATAAATATAACTACAAAATAAGTATAAGAAAAACCAAGGTCCAGATAGGCAGTTCAGCAACAAAAGTAAGACTGATTTCAGAGGCTCAGGTCAGGCCTAGTGCAGTACTACGAAGAAGTTTAGTGCAATGTTCCTGTGGTCACTTGCATACCTGGCTGCTTACCTGGACGCTATTGTTTTTCTAACTCAGTTACATAGATCAGATGGTCCTCTGGGGACTTGCCATGTGTTTTACTAAGGTGCAGTTTGACTGCATGTTTGCTTGCAAAAGTTCGGTTACAGAGCTTACATTGGAATGTGGAGCCTAAGTCCTCCTCAGCAATTCCAAGTGAGCCCAAAGTCTTGTTTGCGAGGACTTTTGAAACATTCTGCTGTTCTTGAATCTGATTAAGTGGCAACTTTGACAGATCCTTCAAACTAAACCCTAGGTGTGTCTCTAAATGACTTATGTATGTAGAAGCAGTCCTGAACTGAGAGGCACAATCATTGCAAAAGAAAACAGGATGTCCTGTGTCCAAGTTCTTTAAAAATTTAGTTCCACCTGTCCTCCTTAACTGATACTTCACATTGGCCAGCCAGTGGCTAATTGTGGTCATGGAAAGACCAGTAAACTTAGAGATGTGTACCCGCTCTTGTGGACCTAGATCCGACATAATGTATTTGCCTTCTGGGGTCTCCCTCAAGCTGGAAGCAAACTGGGCTTGAAGGATCAGAAGATGCTGAGGGTTCCAGTTGGACTGCCTACCCTTCCTCTTGTGTACTGGTGACAGTTCATCCAGAGCCTCCTCAAAACTGCTCCCATCAGCATCAGACTTCTCTGACACGGTAGAGGGAGTTGAAGACTTGGGTGTCAAACGTCCCGTGAGGTTCTTCACCATATCGGAAATATCCAGCAAGGCACTCTCCCTCAGCGGGGATGAGGCAGAGTCAGCCACACTGGAAACAAGAGGCTTGTTTTTGGACTTAGTTAAATCAATAGGTTGATCGCTGTTCTCATAGTAATACCGGTCAATAGCATCAGCCTGCTTGACTGGAGTGCTTGGGTAAATGGGTTTGTCCAACATGCTGTTACTAATTTTGTACAGCATGGCCAAAGGGTCCAGAGAGGGGCTTACTGGCTTAGAAATTTTGCCTAAGTGGGTATTCATAATGGACTGTAAAGCGCTCAATGGATTAATGAAGGATGGCTCAGGTGAATGATCTGTGATAATTCCTAAATTGTTACAGCCATTTGCAACCTTTGTTTTAAGTGGCTCTGTACCATTTGGCGTATGTGCTTCTGCTGGACTATCCTTTTTGACCTTCTGAACTTCAGACTCAGAGCTCTTCTTTGGCTGCTGTTTGTTATTTATTTCTTCTGCTTTTGGGAAGTCCTTGTTTTCTTTAGCAGCAGGTGACGTGGGTTTAACTGGAGAACTCTTCTCCTTCTCCAAAGGCTTCTCTTCCTTCTTCACATTGATTTTACCTGTAACTTTCTCCACTAGTTCCTCCATAGCAGATACATTGCTCTTGTGAGGTGGGGGTGTGAGATTGCCTGGGGAATGGATGAGTGCGTTGTGTTCTGACGACAGCGATTTCACACTGCTTGCGTAGGATGGCTGCATTTGAACACTCTGCACTGCGGGCTGAAGGGGTTTGACTGTTCCCGGCAGCTGGTAAGCTGCATGGATACTGGGATATCCTCCCCAAGAAGGAGCTCCATTCTGGGCTTTGCTGATGGCTGTTGTCACTGTGTTCTCCAGGGATTTCAATATGTCTATTCCCCCTTTAGGACTATCATCTAGATCCTCCTCTCTGAGGTATTGATACAAAGTTGTTGGCTCAAATTTCTCTGTAGAGTCCTCACTCTCTTCTTTAATCTTTTTTTCTGTTTCAGTGACCACCAGCTTTTCCTTCTCTAGGTCTTTCTTTTCCTCCGAGTTTGTGGAGCCCGCTGGGGAATCGGGCTGCTTTTTAATGTTGGAGGCTGGTAGCCTTGTATGGGTGGTGGGTGGAAGAGGTATAGACTGTATTTTCTCCTCCACCACTGGGTCCAACACTAGCTGTTTGCCTTTTTTGGAAGCAGAATTGGTCACCTTCAAGAAATGACCGGTGACCATCATGTGAGCAGTGAGCTGCTGCAAAGTATCATGGGAACTGCCACATTCCATGCATTTCAGTATTTGGGCTTTGCGTGCCTCAAACTGCCAAGTGTAGCTAGCACCATTTTGATAGCCATAGCGGTTGTTCGGAGTCACATAGGGGTTGGCAGTTTTCTGATCCTTTGCAGACTCACCCAGTGAAGCTTCTGCCGTGATCCCTGTCGGCTCAGGTGAACAAGGCGAAGCCAAGTCCTGAAGTGCTCGCTTTTTGGTAGAAGGGACCAATTTGGTGATGGCTGGTACTGGCTCCTTCAGAGGCACTTTCTGGTAATGCTTTGTTTTTATCATATGGACGCTGAGGTCTTGCAAAGACTCAAATGAATGCCCGCAGTACATGCACTTCAGGACTTTCTGGGCATCCTCTTTGCCTTCCATTTCCATAAGTGATCGTTTCCTAGGCTTTGACCACCGCTTGGTCTTATCAGCTTCTTTATCTCTGTTGTCATCACGGTAATGTCCAGTTTCATTCATGTGCACTGTTAGCTCCACCAGCGTGTCGTAGGCTGCGCTGCAGTCTTTGCATCGGAACTTGCTGGCGCCAGTGAACACAGACCCATAGAGTTTATTGTTTTGCCGGTAAAGCTGCACTGTGCTGAAGAGACTCGGCTCCGGGAGAAGTCCATACGATGACGTCTGCTGCAGAGTTTTAGCCAGCGCAGCTTGGTGCCAGTCGTAACCCGAGCCACCGCTGTTACTATTACTGTTACTAGTGTTACTGGTGGTTGTACTGGTACTAGTGTTGGTACTGGTAGTACAAGCACTCTGGGAATTGGCATTGGCGTCAGTACTGGACATGTTTTCATTCTGGCTGATTCCGTTGTTGCTGGTGGTTGGATTGGATTTCTTTAAGTCCAAAGCTAAACTGGACCAGCAAGTCTCTGAAAGCAAATTTGCATACACAGCTTTTATTTGTGCCAAGCTGTCCTGTGGATAGGAAACATTGTCTGTGCACTGAGGATCCTCTTTCTCTTCTTTAGAGGAAGTGCTTTTGAAATGGGCCAGCTGATCGCTGTTTTCACTAAACGGCGAACCATAGCCCGCATCCTGATTAGTTGCAGTGCTGACTGGGGAGTTCTGGTAGCTTTGAGCCTCTTTGATCTCCGCTTCTTCATTGCACAAATACTCATTCTCCTGGATGTCCAGAGACAGCCCATCATCTTCCACGCTGTCTTCATCTATTTCTGCTGCTTTCAATTCTTCCTCAGGAACATATGCTAAAATACAGGAGGGGACATGGGGGGAAACAAGACAATGTTATTGAACGCGCACATTTTACATGGCTCTCCTGCACTAAAAACTAACCATGAAGACAAATTTTGAAGATATATCCAAAACCCGAACTCACCATCACTCACATACTCCTCCTATAAATCCACACACTCTGTCATGGTTACAGTTTGATACCAGTGATACTGAAGAATAAACTTTGACTTCAGCAGTAAAATATGTGCCAGGACCACAGTAAATGCCATAATATCAAAACTAAAATCAAACAAAGAGCCTACTAAACTAGTTTTTATCAATTTTTAAAAATGGCCTGGTACTGAGCTATATTTCCTGCACTACATATGTAATGCATTGCAGCTGACCTGCATCCCTCAGACCATGACACTCAGAATCACTGACTTGACCAACTCTATCTTGTCAGTTCTGTCTTTTCTTGCAAACTGGCTTTAGCTACAGCTTCAGGGGCCATTTCTGTGTCGCTGATACCTGACTCTAATGAAGCCATACAGGGCAAGAGTGTCAGGTCAGCTGTTCCCAGGGTCTCCTGGTGTCTGGCTGTACTGCATCCATCTGAGAGCAAAACAGCTTTCATTTTTGAAAGGTGAGAAGAGAAGCAAGACTGATTGCTTTCTGAAATGGGAAGGATGTAGTTTGCCTCCTGTTATGATCTGATATGGGTCCTTCATTTACCATTTTGAAAAAAAGCAGTCAGAAGCTAAAAGTAAATGCTAGAGATTAATTTCTCAAAGCAACAAACAAAAACCTTGAGATCTCCATTGCAGCTTGATCATTGGTTTCTGGAAAATATAAAACTTTGCTATTGCATTGCTATCTGTGAAACTATATGATCTCACCAAACTATGTGTTTATCTATATCAAACTATTTGTTAAACTAGCAAATGTGATATTCATGAGCAGATGGTCATTACATCAAAACACATTTACTCCAAGGGCTCAATTCACAGAAGTGACTTACATGTACCTAAGTGATAAATGTACACTTTCATTGCAAAGCAGAAAACATAGTTGTATGCATTTCCCTCCAGTTTTGTAAAAGAAGCTTAAAAAAATCACAATGCCAATGGAATGTATATCATTTATAAGAATGTCAAGGTAGAAAATACGGATTATGAACAATTTTCAGTAACTGAATAAAAAAGTGGCTCCTTGTCAGGTGAGCTCTGCAGCAAGTGATGCTGAAATGTGTCCTGTGTCCTTTCATGCTACAATACTGAAAGCAAGCCAGAAAATAGGCACTCCTGCTCCTATGTTGTATGAAGAAAATATGTATTATTATGTTAACAAAGCTGAGGTCTTCTTCAACTGGGGGAGCATAAGTACGAGTCAAGCTTCTTTTTGTACACAGTTGCTAACATATTCTAAAATGTCTTTTCTGAAAAATAAAAAGAATCTTCTTTCATTGTAATATGAATACTCTTTGAAACATACTATGGTCAGTACTGCATTATGTATTCACCTTTGCAATTCAGTCTTAATGCAGCCCCTAACTGCTTCAGCCTGATCTTTTAAGATGAAATAGGAAAATACTCTATCTAGTATGGGGTTGTACTGAACCTTAAGATGCCCATTGCATTTTTCACCTTTCCCCTAAATGTCAATATTTTCAGACAATAATTTGACCTTTTAGTTTTTAAAAAAGTTCTAATCAGGACCCAAACAGATAAATCAGCCTCAAGTGTTTTCTAATAGGTTTAAAAGGACAGGTGAGTACCAAGCACAATAAATAAAATTCAGAAATAATCCTGGAGTCAAAGGCCAGTAAGATGCCAGAAAAGCATTATAAAATCAGATGAAAATATTCTCCAAAAGGCATTTTGTCCATAAAAGGAAGAATAGAATGCAGAAGTAGTAAGAGAATTCAGAAGACAGTCAGCTTCCCTGCCCTGCAGCAATGCTGCTGTTGGAACACTCTGCAGATATTTGAGGATGGTAGGACCGCTGCAGTTCTGAACTTCAGGTACACACATAGAATTCACTCCCACAGCTGCAGCCTAGGATCTCTTAGCCCTCTCATTCAAAATATCTTTTTGCAGCAATTTTTAATGACAAAAGACAATACATTTTTAAGTTGCAGAAAAGCAAAGCACAGTTAAAAAAGAATACGGTTTCTAATTTTGAAATTATTTTTAAATAGAAAATAAACCCCTCTGAGACCTAAAATGCACAACAACGGGCAGTTACCATCTGGCATTTTTATCAAAAAAAAAACCAAAACCAAAACAAGTACAAGCTAAAAACTGAGAGGACACACATTTTGAGCTTTTATGAACAGCTTTCTTCTCACTAACCACAGTGCAACTATGCCACTTTTCTCTAATTTTCACATCCAATTTTTTTAATAACTAGGTGCAAAAAAAACTGCTGTAAGATACTGGATGTTCCTATAGTTGATACAGCATTTTGTAAGGATCCATATTAATTTTTTGCTTACATCTCTTTATTTAATTCTATATTATGTGTGTTTGAAATATGTATAATAATTTTCTATTTTTATAATTGCTATATATAACCATCTATATATCTGCTTAAGTAGAAACTCTAATGATCCATTGCCGTGTCTTTTATTTTTCTTTATTTACTTATGATGGTGTTTTCTCTATTCTCATACTTTTGCACTGTGTCATAAAAATAAAAAGGAGCTAACCACACAAGAAACATTATAACTACATGTAAGGTCCATGTTAAACTGCCATAGCAAAGAAACTGAGTGTCAGGGTGAAATATCCATCTTTTACTCACTTTTTCTATTCTTTGGTTTTGCTGAGACTAGTACACAATTGAGTTCACTCCTTTACCAACATATACTGCAATATAAGGGTTAAGAATGTACAAATGGGCAGAACTATGATTTTCTATGATTTCTGAATTTAAGCCAGTTCTAAATAAACCCTGAATTTATATGATATGCACACCCACATGTCTGTACATGTATCTAAAGTCTCAAAGAAATAATGCTTCTTAACAAAAAAAGAGAATAATTTATCTGTAATGTTTAATTTCTATCACTGCAATAAAAAAATAGTCTATTTAACTCCTTTGGTTATCATAGGATACAGACAATACCTGTTCATTCAAAACTACTAATGCTTATGAGATGAATAGCAGCACACTCAACATATGGTATTTTGCAAGGTCAGTGCAATTCTCTTACTGAAAAGGTTTCTGTAAGAGCTAACAGAGAAGCAAACAAAAGGAAGAATGTTAACGTCTAAAAACATGTACATTTTACTAAAATTCTCACAGAAACTTGACAAATAAATAAAATCCAGTATTTTAAACATAGCAAAAATATTCCTATTATAATTACTTGCAGAGAGAACTAATATATTCTACCTTAAATAAAAGCATGAGATCTTCAGATTCTAAATTACAAAATGTAGACCAACAGACAACATATCTTTCTGTGACCGAGCAACTCTCAGCAATCTTTTCCAGACATTCCTGCATCTGCAAAGGTACCGCTGGTTTACACATGTCCCAAAACCACACAAAAATATCAAGAGCAGATATAGACAATGATCCTCCTCAACAGTAACTATATTAAAAGTAGAAGAAATTACAGAACATAGCGTCAGCTTTTCTCTTGCTTCTCATTTGTGTCTAGACAGACTGAGGCAAATGCAAGGTGTAAAAGAGGGAAAAACCTTCAAATTCCCGACAACTAAAAAATTGGGGGGGGAGGGGGGGGGGGGCATTTTGTATTTATTTTCTTTCTATTAAGTCATGCTATTTTTTTCTGCCGATAAAATGTGCCTTCTGGATGCCAATGCTTCCCCATAGATATACTGTCATCTTTGAGCAGTGTTAAAAGCTGTGCATTCTAATCTAAGTGGACATGAGATGCTATATATTGTACATGTGAGTAGCACAGCACATTGTGTTTGCTTCAGTGAGAATATTTACACTATAAATACACATCCATTGTTTGAAAGAGCAGAGAGAGATCTGAAATGTAAGGATGTGGTTAAAAATACAAATATTCTCACATAAAACCTTTCCACAACCCTGGAACTATGCTTTTGAAGGAATCTGTCTCTGCAGAGGTATTCTTTTCCATTCAAAAAGGGATTCAACATTGAATAAATTATTTTGAAAAGCACCAAAAGTAATAATTGTATTTGGTTTTAGTAGTCTACAAAATTAAATGCAGTAAGCTCTTCAAGACCCAATTTTAAATCCTCCAAATAAATAAATTTATTCAGAAGAAACACCTAAGCAGTGAAAGTCACAGTTCAGTAAAGGAATTGAATACTGAAATAATTTTCACTGAAATACCTATTTCATAGTTTTGACAAATAGGGATAGGTTTAGGTCTAAAATTCTTCACTAAATCAGGGCCTACTCTGTGACTAAACAATAGTGGCACAATGTGAGTGTTCACCATTCTTCAAGAGATGTATTGCCACAGCTTCTAATATTTACCCAGCCAACAGGAGACAGCAGCTGCAGAAGTTTTCACAGCCCACACTGTCACCTTGCACAAACTGCACTCCAGGCTGGGGGTGATTTCCACTGCACACAAGAACACAGTTCATATCTTAGGAAAAAAAAAAGTACAGCTAGAAAAGACAATCTATAGCCACACATCTCCCTCATTATGGAAACAAGAGGCAGATGAAAAAACCCAAATCATTCACAGACACGTTTCCAGAATACAGAGCCATGAGAATTTTACAGAAGAATCCAAAATCTCACATTGTGGGGGTTTAACATGTGTGCTGGAAGATTTGCGAATCTTCTGTATTAGTATATACCCACATACCCAATGTTCATACAAAATTCTGGCACAGATGCTACAAATCTGTGTGCATGTGTGTGTGTCTGTATTACAGTGTCACTGTGGTGGAAAAATATGGCTTAGTAATGACAATGGCTGAGAAGCAGCAGAGAATATGAGACAACCAGATAACCTTACTACAGAGGTTTGTGTCTTTCATTTCTAATTGCAGCAAAATGGGGGGCAAAA